GTGTAGTGCTAGTAGGGGACTTTGTTGTGGTCGATGCGGATGTTGAGGTTGTTGTTTGTGTAGGCGCCTGAGTGTTTGCGGTTGTCGAAATTTCTGTGGCTGTATGCGTTGTTGCTTCGTTTGATGTTGTGTTATCAGTTATTTTGAGTTTTTCAATGGTCGTTTTTGTGGTCGTTTCTTTCGAACTTGACATTCTTTTGTCTTCAGTTGTTTCGACCGTTGTTGTTTTTATTTCTCTGCGGACCCTTTTCTTCGTTTGTATTTCTGTGTTAAGGGAAAATATTTCTTTGTCGTTATTTTCGTTTAATTTTTGTTATATTGCCCTGTGTTTCCTCATTTCCTTTGCATTTTTTGTTCAAGGTACGTGTATTATGGTTGCTTTTGTTTTTATTGTTGGTTCTCTGTGCTTCCTCGTTTTATTTTTACTTTTGAAATTTATTTTTCCTGGGTCTAACATCTTCATGCTTATCATACCTCAGCGGCATTCTTTGAGTGTATACCCATTATATATCGAATAGGGTTTTTATTTGACTCTTCAACCGGTGTTTGATTGCATTTAATTGACCGTTTAGTATAAGAAAGTCATTAATTTAAATGATAATTCAAATAAAAGCTTCACTTGTGTGGTTGTTCTTTTCTACTTTATTTTTACAACCCGGAACTGGCTGATTTCACCGTCGGTTCGTTCGATTGGCTGCGGTAATATATGTGATTTAGCCTGTGATTAGAGGTGGAGGACCATCGGAGTTTATTGAAGTTGCAAAGTTTCTTTTGTCCCACAAGTTGAACGAGGTGTAGACAAATTCCAACCGACTCTGAGTTGGCTCTTATGAGGTTTCCAATCGGCCTAACTCGGGGATCCCGAACACAGTAGGGAGGTTGCTAAGCTTTACACTCACTGTGTGATCGGACTCCACGAAATGTGAAGCGATGGCACATGTAACAGTCTGCATTACACCAAGCAGGATGATTTTCTCGAACTCTTGTAAATATTCGCCTGCACGTGCGGCCAACACGCGTTTTCTTCCCAGGAACACGTAAAAGGGCACACACGAAATGATTCTGCAGAAACAAGAATCTTGTCTTTGAGTTTCGAATACAGGATCGGTCTGGACATGAATATGACACGTAATTTTTCCGCATGGAAACTATTTTTCAAAACATGTCATACATTACGGATAACCAACTCCGCGATTTCATCCCAATTTGAATGGGAAAAATAAGTAAGTCGGTTTTCTATAAATTGATCTCGGAATGGAACCACTTGTGAGAAGCTTTAACCAACTGTCTAGGAAACCAACCCTTTGTAATAACCTCTTATTCCAAAGTGAATCTGATAATGGGATCAGCGGAATTAAATATCCTCAGCAAGTCGAACACCTTGACGTTAGTGTCCACAAAATATAATATGTCACCTACATATCGTCTCTTCAGTTTGCGTCACCTAATGCGAACTTTAAAATTATATTCTCCGTCTTGAACATGAAAAAAAATCCACAAATAGAGAACTGACTATGGATTACATTGATAATCCATTCTTTTGATGATAAATTTCGTTATTGAACCTAAACTGAAGGTTCTATGTGCAGAAGTACATTATTCGTTTCTAGTCGTCTAGGGGCATTGCAAATTCGTGGATTTGATCACACAAATATTCAGCGGCCTCTGCGATAGGAACACCAGTGAAAAGTGATCTTACGTCCATGGGTATCATTCGTTGCTCATCAACATTTACCTTCACGATTATATCTATCAAATAGAAAGTGTCCATTTAAGTGTGGGTTGTGAGTGTAGCTTTCACTGGATCCAAAATTGTCGCAAGTCGCAAAGTCATTGCATGGTATCAGGAATCATTCAAGTCTAAAATCGGCCTGAGGGAAATTCCGTCTTTATGTACTTTGGGTAGATGTGGTGATCTTAGTCTACGAGATGACACATACCACGGAGCGACACATTACAGTTTTCGAACGACTGTTATGAATCAATCTTCCCAGGTGACATCAGAAATGCGCGTACTTGTTACAGCTTTTGAATTACAAACCATAGGCCGATGGCATCAACCAATCAGAAACCATGCGGCCAAGACAGAAGCTGAACAACACCAGAAATATTAGCACGCGATTAGCAGAGGCTTGGATGACCAATGAATTTGTTTTGTGCATATTATTTAGTCCCCCGGATTTTTTTCAATAGATCATATGCTATTCCCCTGGCCTTTTCATCGCGTATCGGTTACGTGGGATACTGTCTGCAAGTACCAGTATGATCCAGTGGTTACGTTGCGTCCGTGATTGCTAGCCCGTGATTCGTACTTCGTGATCAGTGCCTAGAATGACCACAATAGACCGTATAACCTTGAGATTGTCGTTCCCGCCGGTCGGATAAGTTCGAACGTGTGTGCATCTATAACACACTGTTCCTTTAAAATTCCGATTATCTTTGACAGCTTCTGCTCTATCTGTTTTATCCTTCTTGAACTCTGTGTTATCACTGCGTATGTTACTCATCTGTGACACTCAGTTTGATCTTTTCAATAGGAAAACTCCTATAACCTTGTCTGGTCTGCACACAAATACCGTATGATTATTCCCCAATGCATTGAATCACCCTCTGTATTGTAATATCACCAGACCTTTGATAACCGGTTTGCTGGCGCGAGGATAATAGGTTGTGTTCACCAGTGTACATTTCAGCTGAGCCACATTTTAAGATGAAAACAGTGATAAATCAGATAGCTGAGAGAAAAGGTTTTTGAAATCTACTTCTAGATTAAGTTGTCTAGTTCTCCCGTGTTTGGTGTCACCCATTTAAGCCGATTGAAAGTCATATAGTAGCCACCGGGTTGGAATTTGTCAACAAAACCCCCTCTTGTGAGCCCCAAAATCAACTTATGAAGCCACTCACTCTCTTATGAACCTCCTCCCATCGCACCATAAAACAGATGGGTAACACGAACTAAGCGTTAGATCCGATAGTAACATCAACCATATCCGGTTTGTGAAACTGAGACAGAAAACAACAACTAATACTACCATGGCTACTAATACAACGTTGTCCCTATGAATATTCATCTATTTTGTTTCTTTTTTTCTATCGAACAGATCACTTTCAGTCATTGGTTGATCTACCGGTAAACGCGTTTCACTAATGGAAACTCAGGGGTGATTAGCACAGTTGACTCAGTACTCTTTGACTCCAAAATTTAATCTAAAAGCTCAGATTTCCTGCTGAACAATAAATTGTTTTCATTAAATGATATCTCGCTGTATCAGAACCGATTTTTTACACACATTATTGGAAACCTAAAATTTGCTGAGACAGAATGTGTGTGGGGTAGTCTAATGAATCCAGATCATTTCCCTCGGAAGTTGTTGGGGACTGAAGTGAATAGATCGGAGCGAGTAAGAACAGCGGACTCCAACTCCATGAATTGGTACATGCAGTCGTGGTGCGTTTGACTCACTAAAAGTCAGCATCCTTGATAGAGCTTTTAATATCCAATTGCGAGTGTTTTATTTCTAACTTCATTAAGTTTCAAACTCATCTAATCACATTACTGTTTTAAAACCTAGCAATTGATAAATTCTTTTTGTTTAAGCACATGAGAAAGCGTATGCTGTGAGGTCAACAAATGGAACGTTTTAGTTTTCAATCAAATGGAATCATAGGAAAGAATTGCATACCTGAAAGTGAGAGTCCTTGAGCTTGTCGGAAACTAGACGTCATTCGATCAGTAATGTCCGGATTGGAGAGTACTGTCCGTATTCCTGCAACAATGCTACTGGCCAGCTCGAATGGTAGAGGCTTTCCGGACTGTTTCTCCTGGGACCTCAATAAAACACTGGCAATGACAGATCCGGGTCGAAAACGTGTCAGGTAACAGGTCATGTTTCTTGGCATCGGTCCGGGAGAATTGTGGGCTACTTTTCTGAACTAAAAAGGTAAAGCGCGTCGAACAACAAAGAGTCGTACCATATGAATTGTGAAAGACAGCGATATTTCTTCTGATTCTTCAGATTTCTTGTCATAATGCATTTGGATTCCCAACAATTGCCAGTTAACTGTTTTTGCTCTTTAATTTGTTCAGGTGTGTGAAACTAGCACAATCCTGCAAAACTTTCCGAATGGAGGTAGTATATAATGTCTTTTTTGAAGATAAAGCACATGTATGGAGCTCCTATCCTTTTGTTTTACAAAATTCCCAACACATGAAAAGGATATGTAAGACTTTTGTGGTTAATAAAGTTCACAGCAATTAAACACGGAGAATACAAGATGAAGATGGTGTAGTTTGTGAACTCGCAAAGACGAACAGCATAAATCAGTGAGATCATGAAATTGCAATCATTCGGTATGCTTTTATTACTGGTATAGTGAGACACTACGCACGTGTGAGTAGTAGGTAATGTAGTTGGTAATCACTTTTGACGATCAAAAATTAAGAAGACTGTCGAGAGCCAAATGCCGTATCTCAAAGTATAACTGTCGATTGCTTCATTCATTACCCGTCGTGTGATCGGGAACTGCGATGGTATGTTTTTGATGAGATATTCGTGGTATGTATCTCAAATTAGTGATGTCTCATCTGAAATCCTCAATAAACGAGTATCCTCTACCAAGCACCGTCTTGTGGTATTATAACACTAGTAGTTCGCGCAATGAATGTGCATTCAACAATTTACAATGAAGAACGCAATAGAATGAACCGCAATAATAAAACTTTTCCTGAACTTTATGAAATTTCATATCGGGCAGTGTAAAAACAGCTCAGATAATCAGTAAAGCAGCGCTATACGGCCATCCGGTTGCAACATTGTTGCAACATTTTTGATCTTGCTAACTCGCATAGATTTACATTTTTCTAAACCGGTGTTTACAAACAAACATTATCCGCACTCACCCGTCCGCACGATCCAGTTAAATTATGTATGCATCAGGGTAATGATATGTTTCTATACGAGTAGAACCTTTTGCTAATTGCCAAACTCCACTATTCAACGTGAATAAATACTTCATGAAGCTGATGAACGTATCAGCAATACACTTCTTGCCAAAGTGTATTTTCCGAAATTCGACAAATAATCTACCAATTCATTATTTATAAATCTAAGCATCCAATTAATTCGACTACAGAGACAAAAACCCCTTCCAGGACGGTACTGATACAACAATTGTTGCATGCAGATGAGAATGAATAGAAGACAGATGCATAAACAATAAATTTGACTTTTACTCACAAATGTACAGACATATTGGGCAGTCTGTTTGAATGTGGGACTGCCTTGATCCGCCAGCCTGTCATCCCAAGCCATGAAATTTCCTTTATCCGGGAGGCGAACCAGAATTTTAATCAACTCAGCATCTGAAATGGAAATTCGGAGATTGAGCCACGGTGTTTCACTAGCAGTTCGATCCTCGCCAGTGTACTTTGATGGGGAATGGATAAAAAAATGCTTGAAAAATATTCCTTGCTTTCAAAACCGTTAAAAACCATGCTATGCACATCTTTTTGTTATGTGCGTTATTTATGTATGCTCTCAGTTAACAAGAGCTTAGTGTACTCCCCGTTGTGAAAATTAATTTTACTTTTGTCACAATTCACCTTTTGATTGTAGCTGTCATTGTTGATGCAAAAAATGCATCATTCCACATAGGTATAGCAGCATCGCTTCTGGCTAAGATTGTTGCTAGCACCGGTAGATTTATCCTGCATCACGAACATGTCACCGAAAAGCTTCCTCACCAGTGACTGTACGAAAGTGTCTTCTGATTATTGGCAAAATATCTATGAAGAACCATTGGACAAATCCACCTGGATTAGAACCCACAAACCATTCTATAACACATATTGCCTAACAAACACTTTGATTTTCGATCATTTTCTTTGGATTGCATACTTTTAAATCTTTTTCATTCGCAGAATGTGCATACAATGGGAAACCATTGCAGTGCATTCTGTGACATAGAATTCCTTTGTGATAGTGCGAACCTGCTATCAAACCTACAGTCTAATTACCAATTTTAANACGGCTACCTGGTTGCGACATTTAAAGTTTGTTATTGATTTGGCTGGCTGGCACGGTGTTTGCAAACGAATATTATCTGTACTCACCCGTCCGCACGGTCCAGTTAAATTATGTATGCATCAGTGTTGTGGTGTGCTTCTATTCGATTAAGGCCCTTTGCCAATTGCCAAGATCTGCAGAGATAACTTTAGTATAACTCTCACATACTTCATGAAACTGATGAGCATGTCAGCAATACACTTCTTGACAAAGTGTATTTTCCAAAAGTCGATAAATAATATATAAATTTTAGAGTAGGAAGTTCAGATTAGCCCATTCGATTGTTAATAGGCATCAGTTACTCTTGATGTTCTTGGGTGTGGGTTTCACTCCTTGAGAGATATCATGCAATTACATGAGATGGAAATGTTTGTGATAACTGACAAAGAGCACTGGGCAGCATCTTCGTCCAAGCTTGTTACTCTAAA